AAATCTTTCAAATTTCACACATGTGTGTCTCTATCTCACTGTCTTAAGATTTTATGTACACTGTTTTTCCACCAAATGGGTCTGACCCTCATCGTATTTAAGCTGTTATATAACTTTCCATCCAGCTGTTTTTACAAATATGTTTCCCTCATAGGAACTGAAGTGAACAGCCCCGAGAGTTTATTGGTGATGTCATTGTTATAACAAGTTGTATTTAGTTCTAGACTGTTCTCTAATGGGGCCAAGTCATCTCAAATACTTTGCAAAAAATTTAAAGTTCCTGGGTAGGTTTTTGGTTTTGGTGAGGTGTTCTTTTTTTTTTCTTTTGGGGGTGAGGAATATTTATCCTCTTACAGTAAAAACAGCAATACATCAGTAAAGACTACATTGTAATACATACAAGCAAGAGAGAATGTTCTAATTGTACAGACTTCTTTAAATTCCTGACTTTTAAGTCGAATATAAATGTTTCTTAATGCATGTTCTGGTTCTTCATTGCTGTTTAGTTCTGATACTGCCAATGGATTTTTTGATACTAGCATGGCAAGATCTTGGCAAATAGTGTGTGTCTGGTCAACATTTATCAATAGCCAAATTGGAAGAGAAGAAAATACTATCATAAACTGATTGAAAAGATCATTGTGGAAATGCAAGTGTGAAATGTAGATTAGCAGGAGATGATTTGGATTTTCTGCCAATAGCGGAGGATACTGATAATGGATTTTTCCATAGTTTGACTATGCTTTAACAATGTATGCAAGAGAAATACCTGTATCAATTAGCCTTCATTTTCTAATTCAACAGTTTATTTTCCTGACCATCTTTCTCTTTGAAAGTACGTGTTAAAATACAGGAAGGAGCTTTGTTGAGTCTGTTTCACCGTTTTGATCTATACAGGTATGTTTTCCAGAAGAGTATTTCTCAGCAAACTGCATATGGGGATCAAATACGATTTTAGAAATTGAGGGCTCTGTCCCAGTTCTGTAATGCCTGGGCAACAGCAAAGACAAGTTGCTGTGCCTCAAGTCAGTTAAGTCCCGGTGGCTCCTTGAAAGAAGCCTTAAAGAGGAATTTGTTTTGCAATTGGTTAGTCCAAGG